TCTATTTATCCTCTGTTTGTCTTTTCCTTGCTTGCCTTGGTTCTATCTAGACTCTAGACCTTTGAGTCTGTCTAAACCTTTGACCCTTGTCCTTTAGCCTCTCTTGACTYGTGACCTGACTTGAGCAGTAGTCTTGAAACCCCCAGAGGGGATTCTCGCCTTGTCTTTGGAGTYGTCTCTCTTTCCTTCTCTTGATGGAACCTGCACCCTCCAGTGGCCCTGCTGTTTCTTCTTCTTCAATGGCGGGTCTGAGATCTAAGGGGATGTTTGGTGTGGGGGTTGGATGGAATCTGTGTGGGTGTTGTCTAGAGAATGTGGGGGGGGATGATGGAGGTGTGTCGGGGTTAGATAGAGGCGATTTGTGGAGTGTCGGTTGCATGTAAGGGAGGCGGGTGGTTGGGGCGAGGTTGTTGGGTAGGGACTGGGGGTGGACTTTGTTTRCTCTAACTTGGGTTAGTGGTGTGTGGCTGGTTTGGGGGTGGTTGGGTGCGGGGTAGGGGTGGTATCTGGGCACTTTGTGTCCCAGTTAAGTTCAGCCAATTATTTAGAGTTAGTCGATCGTTGTTGATTGAGCCTAATTTCCCATTTCCTRATTTGGAGATTACAAAYTTTTTAATTGTTTCTCTTTTTTTATCGGGGTCAGTGGGGAGATYGTTGAGTTGTTTTTTCCAGAGRGCTTGGATTTCGGTGTCTATCAGTTGTTTTATGGTGAKGAGTGGATTCTCTGGGGGAGTGAGAYGGTCATCGAAGGTGCAGTCACATCTGTTTTTCCAAATASCCCATAGGGTGCTTTTCTTGATTAGTGAAGAGAGGAAGGCTTCGAAGCCTTGGAGTGGAGGTATTTGATTGATGTCGAGGAATAGTGTGGCAGGGTTAATTAGGAGGATAGAGTCCGAGATTTTGTGCCATGCCGCTTCTAGGTTTTGCCATAGGGATCTGGCCTTTGGGCAGTCAATGAAGCAATGATTCAGGGATTCGGGGGATGCGTGATTACATACCTTGCACCACTCGTCCTGTTCCGTTCTGTTTTCTTGGTTGCGTCTTTTGGCTAACCATTGGTTTACTGGGACTGCTCTGAAGGCTATTAACCATCTGAAGCTAGCCAGCTTGACAGGTCTTGTGGAAAAGATTTTGGCCCAGGGAGGTTTAAAATGGGTGTTTGCTAGTTGTGGTTCTTCCTTTGTCCATCTGTTGTGTATTGTGTTGGATATTGATATGGGCTTAGTGAGGAGACGATAGCCTAGTTTCGGTGTGTAGTCAGTTAGCCTGTTTTGGTTTGTGATGAGGGTGGAGTTGGAGGGGGGCTTCCATGACCATTCTGATGGGTCGATCTCTAGGCTAGAAACGCTGCTGTGGGGTTTGTAGACTCTTTTTCTTTCTCCTTCTATGATTCTGATTCTTCTCAGGTTGTTGCTTTTGAAAGCTCCTTCTGCTCTGCTTTCGGTGTTGATGTAACTTGCCGGGTTTCCTGGATCTTCTAGGGTATATATGTCGCAGCGTATCCAGTTATTATTTTGGGGTTCATATTTCTTGACTAAGAGGACTTCCTGTGTTGGTGAGATGTTCGTGGTGGTAGCCCAATCACCTTGTATCCATTTTTGGTCTGTTTTTAGTAGGGCTCGCCATTGTAGAGGAATACAGTCTACTATGTGGTTTAGGTTAGTTTGTAGATGGTGTGTTCCTTTTAGTTGGTCTCGAAGGTCCCGTTCCGATTTCCACGTTTTATTTGGATTGTCCCAAATGTGTTTGATTTGCCAAATTCCTTTTTCTAGCATATCTTCCCTCTTCTAGTTTCTGCTGTCTATGAATGTTTATAGAGCATAAACTATCTAATTTAATAATGCCTTTAACCAGTTCTTCTGGGCTAAAACCCTAAACCCTATCCTATTTAGCTAGTTTGTCTGCTACGTGGTGACTTCCCTCCTTGTGGATTGTGACGCTTATCCTGAATTTTATCTCTTTACTAACTGTTACTGCCTTTCTGGTAACTGTGTGTAGGGTGAGAGTAGTAATAGAATGTTGGGTTGGGTAGGGCATGTGTCTGTGGGTTTAAGTTTGGAGGGTTGGGTTTCCATAGTGTTTAGGAGGGGGTTGCCATGTCTGGCGGGGGTGGTTCGGGACCAGTGTGGTGTATTGTAGGGTGAAGGGCTAGAAGTGAGACAGTTGCGAAGGGATTGTGAAGGATGATGCAGTGGTGTGTTTGCTTTTGTCGGAGGTGATGTCTGTGGAGGTTGGAAATTTGTCATAACGTCTGTTAACCAGGTCCGTCTTCAGTTGTTGTTGTTGTTGGAGATATTGGGGTATTCACATATGCCTTAGTTGTGGTAAGCTGAGGTGGGTTAGAAGGAGCTAATTTGGATGCTGATTGAGTCTGGTGTGCTGTTCGTTGGTTCTGGCTCTGGGTTGTTAGTCTGTGCTAAATCATTCCACATTTTAAAGATTAGGCTTTGCCCCTTGATGATTGCTATCTTGCCCTTGTCCAGATAGTTCTCCTCGAATTTGGTTTGAAAATCCTTGGCTTTGGGCTCGTTGACTTTCATCTTTCTTTTGACTTTGCGCCATAGCACCTAGTATTCCGTTTCTACTTGCTGTTTGAGGATACACCATGCTTCTTGCACATGCATTGGTTGTTTGTCTATCGTTTCCTGACAACGTTTCCTCCAGATTGACCATATTGTTGCCTTGCGTAGGATTTGGAATAGGTTGTTTTGGAAGGGGGGGCAGTCTTCGGGGGTTTTGAATCCTAATAGAAGAAGGGTAGGGTTTGATGTGAGTTTTGTGTCGGTAATTGAGGTCCAAATATGTGTGATCCTATTCCATATTGGTTGTATCTTGGGGCATAGCAGGAATCAGTGAAACAAGTCTTCTATCTGTCCTTCTGTGCAGTTGGCACATAGTTCATTTAAGGGGTTTCTGTCTTCTTTCTTTCTTCTATTGTTTAGCCATTGGTTGAGTGGGATGGCTAAGTTCTTCTATTGTTTAGCCATTGGTTGAGTGGGATGGCTAAGTACAGAATTAGCCATTGTAAACTTTTGAATTTGGGGGGGTGTAAAATATCTATTTGGTTCCAAGGTATTTCTTTTAACATTTCTGTGTCCATCCCTAGGTGTCTATTCCAGCGGTCTGCTATGATTGTTTCTGGGGCT